CCGCCGCCGGCACCGCACCGGCCAGTGCTGCCCGGCGGCCGGCCCCACAGCTCTGCAGGCATGGCTCTGCGGTGGCAGCGGCGGTGCAGGGAGGTTTTGCGCGCAGCAGCTGTCACCGTTGGCAGAGTTCCACAGGCAAGCGGCAGTGGCCGCCACATATGAACCCCTGCCCCCCACAGCCACCATCCCTTGCCACCGCTGCAGAGCCATGGCTATGGCACCGTGCAGTCACCCCCATGCGAGCCCCTTACTCCCCACCCCTGGCCAGCTGGCTGGGTGGCATGCGTGCAGCCCACACATGTCGGGTACCACTATGCCTTGCCCTGCATTGCTTGCCCGCAAAGCCCCCAGGAGAGGGGCACCCCTGGTCCTGCTCCAGGCTGCAGTGTACTGCCTGGGGCTGGCAGCAACCCCTGCTCCCTCAGCCCCCTTCCCCAGCCTTGCCCCACAACCCCCAAGCTCCACTTACCTCTAGGATCCAGGGGTGAAGGGCGAGCCTGAGCCCAGCTTTGGCTGACTCAGAGGCTCAGGCCCCGCCCTTCCCCCTCTCCCTCCTCCTCTGGGTAGGGCTGGGGGTTTCCCGCCCTTTCTGCAGTCAACTCTTGCAGGCTGGAGCTGTGCCAGCCTGTAAGAGCTCTTTGCAAAAGTGGAAAATCTGTGAATTTCTCTGCTAAAAGGTGAAATCCACGTTTTCTCCGATAAAAACAGGGAATCGGATTTCGTAGACATTATGGCTGGAAGGGACCTTGGAAGATCATCGAGTCCAGCCTCCTGCCCCAGGGGCAGGAAGTCAGCTGGGGTCATAGGATCCCAGCAAGAAAAACATCCAGATTTCTCTTGAAGGCGTTCAAAGTAGGTGTTTGAACCACCTCTGGTGGCAGACTATTCCAGACCTTGGGGGCTCGGACAGTAAAGAAGTTCTTCCTTATGTCCAGACTGAAACGGTTTTGCAGGAGTTTATAATCATCTGATCTTGTCATCCCTTGGGGGGCTCTGGTGAACAAAAGTTTCCCCAGATCCTGGTGAGCACCCGTATAAACTTATAGGTGGCCAGCAGATCGCCCCTGAGCCTGTGCTTTTCCAGGCTGAAGAGCCCCATGGCTCTCAGCCTCTCATTGTAAGGTCTGTTTTCTTAACCACTGATCATGCGCATGGCTCTTCTCTGGATTCTCTCAAGCTTCTCCACATCCTTTTTGAATTGTGGAGCCCAAAACTGGATGCAGTACTCCAGCTGTGGCCTCACCAAGGCCGAATACAACGGGAGAATGACGTCCTGGGATTTGCTTGAGAAATCGGAATCAGTGGTTTTCTCTGTTTTTTCGTGGGAAACGGAAAACCTGGATCCCTGCTTATGACTTAAAAAAATTAAAAGGAAGTTCCAGGAACTTAGTGCCAACTGGGCCTAAAATTATTGAAGGAAAATTTTCTGCGACTGCTAATGTTTCTTTTTCTTTTATAGGCCGAATACATCAAGCTATGGTAACATCTCTAAATGAAGATAATGAGAGTGTAACTGTTGAATGGATTGAAAATGGAGACACTAAAGGCAAAGAGGTACACTTTTTTTCTATTGTAAAATAAAGAGTAAATGATGTCCTCCTTATTGAATCTGAGTTCACACATTAAAACTGAGATAAATGTAGTTTTCATATTAATTATAGTTCCATGTGTCCAGATTTTTTTTAGGGTAAGACCAGCAGTGTTTATAGTGCTGTATTTAATTTCCTGCGTACATATTTCTGCAATAGTAGTAATATCTAATGCTTCATAATAGATCTTGACATGGTTCACAGTGGTCATTGTTAGCATATCCATTTTATGGACAGGAAAGGTGAGGCACAGAGACGGGAAGTGACTTTTCCAAGTTCACCCATCAGACCACTGCCAAAAACTGATTAATCTAGGTATCTCACCCTTTTAGTGTAATGAGATTCGGTATACCAATGTCCAATAGCTGTCAAAAGTCCTTGTAGAAATACTGACTCTTCTTGTTTTAGTGCAGTTACCTTGCAAACATATAAATACCTAATGGTGGTTTTATAATGGTTATATCTTTGATTTATATATAGATTTTTCAGGCAGTCAAAGGATCAAAAAGTTCAAGAGGTGCCCTCACTTGATTGCCTGTGGTGTCTTAGCCAGCAAAGCTAACCCAGCCATGGACCTAAATGAGTCAGTGTGTCTATTTGTTTGCAGTCCTAAATAGAGATGGGAAGTCTGAATGTTCTTGAAAAGTTACGTGAGTATGTGTTCTCTTTTTAAACAGATTGACTTGGAGAGCATATTTTCACTTAATCCAGATCTTGCACCTGATGAAGATATTGAACCCAGTCCAGAGACACCACCACCTCCTACTCCCTCAGCCAAAGTAAACAAAATAGTGAAGGTTGGTGATATCTAAAACAATATGAATAAATCAAAGTTATTACGGTGTCATTTACAGACTAGTATTAGATTTTAAATACTTAAGAATTTTATTTCTGTGCATTATGTGCTATTTCAGGGATATTTTAGACCTCTTGTCTAGCATGAAAAATCATAGAAAAATAGGGCTGGAAGTGACCTCTGGAGGCTATTTTATCCAGCTCCCTGCCAGACGCAAGATCATCCCTATCCAAACCATCCTAAGCAAATCTTTGTCCAATCTATTACTAAAATGACACTGGTGCCCATCACACAACCACAAATCAGAGAGTACCCTAACCTGCCACAGATAAAGCAGGGGGACAATGGTAGCTAATGTCCTGCTGCTGCAAGAGTTATTAACATATGCTCAAGAGATCCAAGGAAGAGAACCATGCCCCCTTCTATAGAGGAAGACAAACCCCCCACAGTCCATACCAGACTGACCGTGGGGTCCTTCCTTTGATCCCAAATGTGGTGATTGGTCTGACCCTGAACAGAGGGGCAAGATGTTCTAATCCAGTGGTTCCCAGCCTTTTTAGACTATGGATCGGCAAACCGCAGACCAGCATATTGTAGACTGGAAGTGACCAGCATACTGCGGACTGGCAGCCAAGCCTTTTTAATATTCAGTATAAAAAAGGGTTGGCTGTCAGTCCACAGTTTCATAGTAGCTAGGGACCTGAACAGATCATCTAGCCTGACCCCCTGCCACCGGCAGGAATGAATGCTGGGTTCACAAGACCCCAGACAGGAGATCGTCCAACCTCCTCTTGAATTTGCCCAACGTAGGGGGGGGCGAGGACCACCTCCCTGGGAAGCTGGTTCCAGATTTGGCCACTCTAACTGTAAAATATTGCTTTCTGATCTCTTAACCTAAACCTATCTCCATCAGCTTATTACCATTGTTCCTTGTCACCCCAGGTGGTGCTGGGGAGAAAAGGGCTCTACCTATTTGCTGTTGATCTCCCCTGATGAGTTTGTAGGCAGCCACCAGGTTCCCCCTCAGCCTTCTATTGCTGAGGCTGAACAGGATCAGGTCGCTCAGTCTCTCCTCGTAGGGCCTGTCCTGTTGCCCTCTCACCAAGTGGGTGGCCCTCCTCTGAACCCTCTCCAGGCTGGCCACATCCCTTTTGAAGTGTAGCGCCCAGTATGCTGATCACTTCCGTACTTCCAGTCCGGCAGCTAGCCCTCCTTTAGACCAGCAGCCAATCCTTCACAATCCAGTATCGGGCCACGGCCTGGGGGTGGGAACCTCTGCTCTAACCAGAGACCTCTGGTTTTTATTCCTAACAGGAACATTGGCTCACCCCAGTCAAATGTAAATTATTGCTGAAGAACAGACTGAAAAAAGAAAATGGATGCAAAATTACTATTTTACAAAGTGAAAAATGAATTTTTAGCTCCTAAATTATGTCTATAATTAGGAAATCTTTGCATACCTTGGGGATGGAGGAAGTCCCAGTTTCATTCTTCTTAGAGAAGGTTTTGGACAGTGGTACCTTTAGCTCTCATGCTTTTCATCTTAAGTATGGATAGGAGGGATTCTGGAACGCCACCTTGCTGCACCGTTCACACTGAGATTTGTTTCTGTTCACTGAAAATAAGCAGATATTGCAAATTACAATACGGGTGACAGGATGAACAAATTCTAGAGATCTCTTTCTCTCTATAGAATCGACGGACTGTGGCTCCTATTAAAAATGAAACCCCTGCCAGAGACAACAGAGGTAAACAGTTGCACCTTTTCATTCCAAGTAGTAAAACAACAAAAATGCTATAATCCAGTTCCTTTTGAAGTCTAATTGTAATTCTTCTTTCTTTTTATTACATTCCCACATGGTATTTAAAGGACAGGGAAGATCATTCCTGGGATCATTCTGTATAGTGTTTTTTCAAAAGGATATTGTATTACCAGTTTTTATGTGTAAATGTGTTATTAGAAGACTTAAGGCATATCTGCATTACAAAACTGGGGAAGGTTTAGCCAAATGAACAATGGTAGGCTTCCAGAATGTCTTCTGGTGAGCATTTGAGGGTATGAATAGGGGATAGAAAATTTTGTGTGTGCACAATCAGGGAAGACAGAGATTGTGATTGGCCCAAGTGGTATTTTTTCTAACTCTGTTAATTTTTTTTAAACTTTTTAAAAAATCCATTTCTTAAAGTTGTGGTATTGTTAATGTTGCCTTAATATATTGAATAGTTGCAGAATGTGTTTGAATTTTGAAGTAAATCTTCAGCTGGTAGAGAAGAACTGTAATTTTTTTCACTTTAATGAGGAGCAGTTTGAGAGTCTGTGCTGTTCCCCACAATTTGTCTTTCTTTCTGTTCTGTTCCATGCTTCCCTTTTATACGTGGTATGCCCTGTCCAAACTACTAAGAATCATTGTTCTCCCTTCAAACCTCTTGTTAAACTTCTTCTATAATCCTTATAGGAAACTAAGCAGCAGAAAATGTATAGTTTTAAGAAGCTGTTTGGTATAGTTGGATGTTTTATGCATTTATAACACAATTTTTTTCTTTTGAGAGAGAGGCCAAACAATTGCCAGTGCCATTGAAGTCAGTGGGAGCTGGGACTGATCAGTGCCTCTGAAAATTGGGCAACTAATTTTAGTGTAGTGAGGGGTCAGCCTTTTCTGAGGCATGCCACAAATTAGCCCCATACCCTCCCCAAATGCCACTCTGATTCCTCTTCTTTTACCTAGTCCACTGCTCTTTCTGCTCCCTGCCTTATCTGCTGCTCTGCTTTCTTCCCCATCTGCTGTTGTGCTTCCTGTCTCCTTCCCAATCTGCTACAAGCCACACACAGAAGCTGCCCGTGCCACTTGTGGCACATGTGCTGTCAACCCCTGCTTTAATATGTGCTTTACTTATTCACCTGAATATTTGTCCTGACTGACATTTAAGTTAAGTACTTAAATGGTTGGAGTATTGAGGCCTCAGTTACCAATTTGTATTAATTGCAATGTTAGAATTAGTGATTTGCTATGTGGTTTTTGTCTTCGTTAGGTAATGCCTGTCGTAGTTTCCTAGGAAACTTTGTTTTTACTTATGTTTTTCTCTTTAAACAAACAATCAAAAAACCCTATTTCCAAACAGGTTATTTTGAGTTTTTCAATCATAAAATAATTGGAAACTTACACAGGAAATGTGAAAGCCATTTTGTGTAAATGAAATGAATATTCAATTTTGACATCTAGAATAATTAATTAAGATCAGTTTTATGCTTTTGTTGCAGTGGTTGGTTCTGCACGGGCACGTCCTACTCAACTTCCTGAACAGTCTTCCTCTACACAACAGAATGGTAGTGTTTCAGATATATCTCCAGTTCAAGCTGCAAAAAAGGAATTTGGACCTCCTTGTATGTAAACCATGTATCAAGGATTCATTCATTCTTGGCATTACATGTCATTCTCTTGGATTACTAAATTGTCCATAAAAGAATGGTCTGTACCTATCATTGTGTCTGTAGGTCTCCATAAGAAGCACTTTCAGAGTACTGTGGGGAGACGAATGTTGAGTTTTATAATAGTCCTACTGAAATTGGGGTTTACATTTTTCTTTGATTTTGGTTTTTTTTTTTAAATAACTTTGCCTAGGGTTTGGTGTTTTTTTTTAAAGCAAGGTGTTTTATTTTGTTCTGAATTTAACATCACATGTTTTGGTCAATGTGTTTTTTGAGGGTTGTCGTCTATTTATTTGCATATTTATTTTCTAGAATACTTTTTTATAATTCATTTACTAGAAAATTTTACATATAAAATTGTGTTGATTATGCCTGGCTAGTATTGAGCCATTTGAGAAGCTAATCAATGTAAAGATGTAAATGGAATGTATTTAATTACTGATTAAGTAACAAAACTGTAATGTAAATCTTAGTTTTTTTTTATGGCAAGCTGGAAATTATTCAAAAATGTTATCTTTTTCTTTAAGCACGTAGAAAATCTAATTGTGTGAAAGAGGTTGAAAAATTGCAAGAGAAGCGTGAAAAAAGGAGGTTACAGCAGCAGGAACTCAGAGAAAAAAGAGCTCAGGTTTGTATTTTCACTTTGGAGTTGAATTAGATGCATGGTGGAGAAGTCTGTTCAGGAAGAAAATATATATATAAATTTGCTATGATCTTCAGTGCGTTATAGGAGTTACGACTACCTGGAAATTAAATGTTTTTTTCAGATGTACAAAACATTGGTGACTGAATAATTAGTCTTTGGGTTCCACAGTCATTTTGATTCATGCTTTCATTGTGATAACTTGCTTTTAGCATTTTAAAACAATCTTTCTTTTTTATCACTTGAATCTACTTTTTAGGTTTTGCATTTACTAGCATGATCTATAAATGCTTACGCATGGAATCTCAGTAACAACTATTGCCTCAGGAAAAAGTAGGGAGAAAAATGTCTTGCATTTGAGTAAATATACTACAAGGTCCCCCCCATCTCTCCCAATTTCTGGGTGGGGCAGGGAGGAACCTGTCATCTTACATTCACTTATAAGGAAACCACGTTAAATATATTTTCTAGCTTTGAACTGTTGCTGAAAGTGGCATATGCTCAGTAATAGAAACCAACTATGAAGCTGATTAAATGTAGCCAACACTGAGCATCATTGTAAAGTACATGACCCACGATGAGCAAACATGCTGATGGAAACCTGCCACAAGGATAAGTTAGTACAGCCCATCTTAAGATATATGGGAGTCCCCGTTGAGCACAGTCCCCCTCAGCACCAACTCTTTTCCAGGTCATGGTGAGCCAGTGATGGAAAAGTCATGGCTCACCCTCAAATATAAAGACTTCAAATACATTTTGACTTCCTTTTCACTCCCACAGCTGAGCTGTTCCTTTCTTTCCCACTTCCAATGATTCCTGTTTCTTCACCAGCTTTAAGCGTCTGGCAGACAGGGCCCCAAACAATTCACTCACAATCCCACTGTTGGCCCCTTCCCCAGCCTGTCGCATGCGATTAGTGTGGCCTCGCCCTTCCTGAGGCAAAGCCAGACCAGGTTGCCCTGTGCCTCATGCGCATATACAGTTTTGGAACATCTCAGGACTCCATGACAAGAACAGCACCCCCATGACTGGAGTCAGGTAATTTGCACATGGATCCTTTGTTGGGGGCAGGGCCGTCCCTGGGGGGGGCAAATTGGGGTGACCACCCTGGGCCCTGTGCTTTGGGGGGTCCCTGTGGAGCTGAGCAGAGCAGCGGTGGTGCAAAGCTGGGCGGAGTGGCAGTTCCGCATCCCGCCGCTCGCTACTCCTCTCCCCCCGCGACCCCCCCACTGCCGCCAATGGCGGTGGCAGCTTCTTTGGGTCTGAGTTTGGAGCGGGGGCGGGGCCCCACATGGGCTGATTTGCCCTGGGCCCCGCACCCTATTCGGGTCACCTCTGGTTGCGGGGGGGAGTACACACCTGCTGAGCTGTGGGGTCACCATGGTTTGAGAAATGGTGTTGACTTTGGTGAGGCCCTGCCTAATGAACTGTATGGTAAATCATGAGCCTTTTGACTTTTAATTAATATCTTTCATAGCTTGTACTCTGTATAAGTCAGTGCTAAAGTGCTGAGTAAGAGTGTGTTTATGGAGTACCTGTGCTAAACTTGCAGCAATTTCAAAAAAGGTGAAATGCATCAGTTCTGGATGCACTAAGTCTGTGTACTATATGCAAATTGCTAAAGCTATCTTTATTTCAAGATCAGTTTTTCCAAATTTGCTTCTCACTTCTATGTGCTCAGTGAGAGCAGGATCTGACAGTAACAAGGGAAGCAAGTGGCTGCAGGGGGAAGTTGGGGGGGAAGGGCAGAGGGGCTACCTGACACCCCCCCGGCGCAATTTATTTTGTCTGCTGTAGCAGTGGGAGGGGGACAAATGCAAGGAAATCCCCAATAATTAGATTCTGTACCTAGAATATTGTAACAAATTTGTAAATTTGCCATATATAGAATCTCTTTGTTGGGGGTTGTCTTGTAATAAGGGCAGTCTTATTTTTGAGTAAATATGGTATTTTTAGCTTTTAGATAAAGCACTGACTCTGCATGAAATATTCTTTTCTGCTGGTTAATGGGGATATGTTGGAAAACTTGAGATTTGAAAAGTGATTTATTTTATGTACCTGGTCCAGATGTTATTGAATTAAGTTTTATAATATATAGTTGATTTGACATTTAGTTTTTTAGAAGCTTTTGTGAAAAAATTACATTGTTAAAAGTTCCCCCCTTGAAAGATTAATTACTGTATTTTCTCATATCCCTTCCGCTTGCTGCTTCCCTCTCCACCGCACCCCCATGCCTCAAGTGAAAAACAATGCATGTTTCTTAGCAGACTGGAGGATGGAGAAAAAACACTCTCCTCCCCCCCTCTCCCCCACCAAGAATCATGGCTGACTGAGACAAAGTAAGTCCTCCTGGAAACACAGACCACCCAGGAAGTGTGGCATTGCAGGAGGTAGTCTGAATAAGGCAACAGAAACTTCCTAGTGTGGCAGGACACATGGCAGTCCTGCCATACCAGCAAATTTCTGGGGGGTCATGCAGACTGTCTCCTGCAATGCCACAATTCTTGGGTGCTCTATGTTGCCAGGTGGACTGACTTTGTCATTCAAGGCTAGGCCACAGACTTTTGATAGTGGGGTTGGAAGATGGTTACTTCTTTACTATAAATAATTCTTATATAAGTTTCTATAAATAAATGTTGTTTCGACGCTGCAAGCTTCACAAGATTTTATTGCAGAGGCAGGCAATTATTTCGGCTGGAGGGCCACTTAATGAGTCTTGGTGAGCTGTTGAAGGCTGCAAGGGTAGCCCTTCCCCTTGACAGGTGCCCTGCCCCCTGGTCACCATTTTGGGGTCAGGATTCCTGCCTCTAACCTCTGACCTTTGCCACTGGAAATCCCTCTCCTTGTCACCTGGAAATACTCCTTTTGGTAGGAGAAGGTTCCCATCTTGGAACCAGAAGAAAACCAAATCATACACTAAGAGTCAAACACCTGGTATAACATTTTAATTTTATTAAAAAAATATTTTTGTCATGATTTGTGATTGCATAATAACTCAAAAATAGTCTTACTCTTGTATATTGTGTGAGGGCGTGGGGTGTCATTGTGTGTGTGTGAGGGGGGATTGTGAGGGGATGTGGCTGTGTGTGTGTATGGAG